CTACCACAGGCCTTTATAGATGATTTATTCAAAACAATTCAGTCCAGAAGCACTCATTCATTGTATCCTATTATTTCTTAAATCTGTTAAAATCCCAAACAGTCTTGTTTTCTGTGGCACTGATTTGTTGCAGAGAATTAGTGTCTGGTACAAGTAGGTAAGGAGCTCTGGTAGCGTAGTGTCTAAAGCACTTGACTGCTAACCAGATGGCTGGTGGTTCAAACCCACCGGCCACTCCACGGAAGGAGAATGGGGCAATCTACTTCCGTAATGATTCTGCCTCGGAAATCCAAGGAGGGGTTGCTATGAGTTGGGTCCAACTCGACTGCACATGACAACAACAAGAAGTAGGTATAACATAGATAAAATACTGAAGGTGTTTTTTCTTTAGTATTGAGTGGGAAGCAGAGATTTCAGTTACTTTGAAATATTCGTGATGACCAAAAATCAATCAAAATAGAAGAGCCTTCTTATTCTTGGCAACCATTGATAACATTATTTTCTAGGACTATATCTTTTTCCTCTTTCTGGAAGATTCATTTTACTCTCAACTGCAACCAGTTATTCCTTTACAAGTTTGTATGAAAGTCTTCCAAACTTTTCATCCTCAGCCAAAATCCTCTCAAATATTCTGATGGTCCCTGAATATTGCAGAAGTCTTTCTCTATCTCACTTTCTTTTACAGTCTTAATCTAGCACTTTCTGCCCTTTCTCTGTATATCTTAAGCCCCAATTGGTGTATTTTATATAAGTTCTGGTATTTTCCTAAATAAAGCCGCTTGCAGTTCAGGTACTTACTGAATAGTTTTTGCAAAGCAGTGCAAACGTCTTGAAGTCTAATTTTTGACACCTCTCCACTTTTCACCACTTTTCTTCTTTAGGAATGAATAGTGTTACTTCTGCTGTCTGCATGCATAGCTTTCTCACACAGTGCTCATTCATTTGCAGAGTTCAAGTTTTTATATCCTTTTCAGAACAATCAAATAATCAACCCTCTGGAATATTCCAAACAAAAGTCGTTTGAGATTGAACTTATAAATCTCTCTTGATTGTGTTGGTCTTCTGATGGGAGAAAGAGGGAGGGCTTTGTGCATGGGCTATGATCAGGGGAGGTGCATACTTTCTTCCAGTAAAATAAAAATGTAGAAGAATCCAAAATTAAACTTATTCTCTCATTCTCACTCCTCCAATTTTGTTAACAGATATACTTTAATTTTTTATGAATGGGATTGTAAATGAGATATAATGGGATGATAGCATAAATCTGGCTAAAGCACTTGACTGCTAACCAGAAGGCTGGCGGTTCAAACCCACCAGTCACTCCTCGGAAGGAAGGTTGGGCAATCCTACTTCCGTAGTGATACTGCCTTGGAAACCCAAGGAGGGGTCGCTATGAGTCGGGGCCGACTCGACGGCACATAACAACAACAACAACAAAGAGTTGAAAAAGTCATTGTACTTTTTCATTTTCTTCATCTGTAAGATAAGATTGAACTATCTAATATATAGATGACTTTTCTGTTCAATGAATTTGAGATTTTCTTTTTATTTTGTACTTTTTAAAAGTAAATTTTATTTATTTTTTTTTTGTAGAGCATAGTTACCAGTAGGTTAGATTTTACAGGGGACCTGGAGACTTGGTTTCCAAGTTTTTCTTTTTTGAGGATGTATGGCAGTTACAAGTTGCTAACTTCCCACTGTCATTATTGTCATCATCAGTATCACATTTGTTCTTCACATTAACTATATGAAATTAGTATTATCATTTCCATTTTAAGGGTGAGGAACCTGAGGCTCTGAACAGTTAAATAGATTATGTAAGGTTATAGGAGCTCTGGTGGCGTAGTGCTTAAGGGACTTGACTGCTAACCAGAAGGCTGACAGTTCAAACCTACCAGCCACTCCTTGGAAGGAAGGTTGGGCAATCTATTTCTGTAGTGATGTTATTGTTGTTACTTGCCGTTGAGTCAGATCCAACTCATAGCGACCACTCCTTGGGTTTCCAAGGCAGTATCTACTTCTGTAGTGATGTTGTTGTTAGGTGCCATCGAGTCGGACCTGACTCATAGCAAGCCCTCCTTGGGTTTCCAAGGCAGTATCACTACAGATAGTAGATTGCCCAACTTTCCTTCTGAGGAGTGGCTGGTGGGTTTGAACCGCCATCCTTCTGGTTAGCAGTCAAGTGCCGTAGGCACTATGCTATCAGAGCTCCCTCTGTAGTGATACCCAAGGAGGGGTCGCAATGAGTCAGGTCTGATTCGAGGGCACATGATAACAACAACAGTTTTTTTTCGTAAAGATTCTAATTTAATTAGTCTGATATTTTAAAAGTTCTCAGGAGATTCTTCTAATGTACAGCTCATATTGAGAACTGCTACTCCAGAGAATACTTGAAAGAAGGCTTGGAGACAATGGAATATGGTTTCTACTTCCTTCCCTCCTGTTTCCTTCTTATTTTTGCCAAGAGTCAGACTCTATTGCTCTTTAAAGCACCCACCACTGCTACTCCCTAAGTAAGTAAATGAAATGGTGAGAAGGATTGCTGGAGGGTAGGATTAGTTCTATGCATTTATTTTGTTTTAGCCCTAGCAAATAATTAAGCTTGTTCAGTGTCCTGTTAATTCTCTTATACACTCCGACTTATTTGCAGAGATATTTCTGGGAATTCAAATTTTATTTGACTGTCATCTTATTCCCATAGCAAAAACTTTTCTGTGCTCTTTAAGATTTTTTTTTTTTCTTTTTGTTGAATAGATTCCTATTTCAGAAAATAGTATGTTATCTTTCTTTAGAGAAGAACTTTAGTCAAAACATTTTACTGGGAAGAGTATGCATTTTTTCCTCAAGTGACAAATATTTGTTTTATCTATTGTTTAGTTTCCTGTTAAGTAATGTGGTGTGTATGTGCATATTCAGTTAAGTTCTGATGTCATGTTGAAGCCCATTGGTGTACAGATTCAGCCAATTAAATGCTTCCTAGAATCCAAGTAGGAAAGATATATAGTTCTGGAATAACAGGAAACTTCATGTTTTTAACATCCTGTTATTCTGGGTTTTGTGACTCGCTGCGTCACCACAATGAAGGTTAGTAGAAATTTATATATGTTTTTTTTTTAATATAATACCATGACTTTGAATTTTCCAAGCCTTTAGATTTAGAATTTTAGAGCTGAAAGAGACGTGTAGGTCACCTACTTCAGTATTTTACAATTAAGGGAATTTTTATATATTACATGCATGGAAGTAGAGGCCAAGTAAGGTTAATATTTTTCATTCTTTTAAAAAAATGCATTTAACCTATGTTTGTCATTTAAAAAAAAAGTAGATAAATATCAGCTTAAGTAATGCTCTTATTTGAGTTGGAATTTTTCCTTAATAATAGATATTACAACAAATGAATTAAATTCTGTATCATAAGCTGACTCTAGAGACTATCTGTTTTATAAGGGTAGTTCTTTTTACAGGAAGGATCTATCTTAGCAAATCAGTTAATTATATTTTGTGCTTCATCTGTATTAGATATATAGTATTGGTAAATGTAATAGAATGCTTAGATACAGTCATAGCTTTTTACAGTTTTATGGCTGTATTTTCTCTTGAAATTTTAAAAAGTGAACTGTTTTTCAGCTCCTTTTTTGACTCTCTTAGTGGTTTGATGGCCTTTTTCTTGAGGTGGTTTTCAACTTCTGAACTTCATTTTTTGTTTATTCATGCTTAAATACATTGAAAACATACTTCATGTCTATTTTTACTCATTTCAGAAATTACAGACAGAAGATTATTAACTTAAAATGATTTTTTGAATAAGACAGCAATGATACTCAAATTTGGAATAGCTTTTCTTTTTGTGAATTTTACTTAGAGTACAGTTGTGGCATCCACAGGATGGATTGGTTTATTTATTCAACAAAATTTAGATTTTTTACTGTGTGCAGTCATAGGTGTTGGGAGATGCAGTGTGGTAAATAAGACTTGTTTACTGCTTTTGTATCTGTGATGGAATACAGACATTGAACATAAAAGTGTAATTGTGATAAATCTGTTAGGGGGACCTAGCCTCCTCTGGTGGGGAAAACAAGACTATCAAGGAAGTGCTTTCTCAGGAAGTAAGATGAGTAAGAGGCCAGACAGTGCATGGGGGAGGGCCAGGGAAGTCAGGAAGAGAAGGAAGGAGGAGTTACTGGCAAGATCTATTTAAGAGGTGTGATAAATTAAAGGAATAGAAAAAAGGTTATGGTAGAGCACAGAATGACAGGGAGAGAGGTAATACACAAATCTGGAGAAGCCAGGGATGAGATTATCAAAGCTTTGTAAGGTTAAATGAAATATTTTGGGTTTTTAGAACAATTCCTGGGTCAAAAGGAGGTCGAAGAAATTCAGAATGATGGAAACCAGCAAACTGATTACTAGCGTTGAAATGGCCTGTCATTTTACCTTTTCTGTAAATAGAAAAGAAAATCTGTACTGTGTCTGTGGCCTGCCTCTGCCGTTATCTAAAGAGAAAAAAGGATTGCTAAACTTTACCACTGAGCATTTATTGGGTGTGGTTCAAACCCACCAGCTGCTCTGTAGGAGGAAGATGAGGCAGTCTACTTCTATAAAGATGGGCAGCGTTAGAAACCCAGTGGGGGTCGCTATGAGGCGAAATCCACTCAGTGGCAGAGCATTTGGTTTGTTAGTGGCACACTGGCTTCATAATCTGTAAAAAAAGTTCATGCCTCAGGATATAAAGATGGGTGGGGCAGAGGTGGGTAGTTGGTGGTTAGGAAACTGATGTGTAAGGCCAAGGGATTAAAGTGTACATAAAAAAGGCATTTCTGGACTTCATTATCACGACTATGAAGCTCAGCTCACTCAGTGTCACTTTGTCAGATTGTGCTTCATTTTAGTAATTTTCGATTGATAATCCTAAACACATGGATCCTCACATTGTGAGACAGCTTAATGTATCCTACACCTGATGTAAGACTCCACTAATTCTGCTTAATTTTTCCTTTCAGACGTTTGATGCAAATGATTTGTATCAGGGGCAGAATTTTAACAAGGTCCTCAGTTCCTTAGTGACTCTAAATAAAGTAACAGCAGGTAAGCCTTTGTTTTTTTATTGAATTTGAGGCGGTGGGAAGATAAAAAGGGAGAATACCTTTAGTTTTCTATTACCAAGGCAAACTAATCATTATTGAATTAAAAAATAAGCTTTTACTGCAGTAAATTTTTTATTGTTGTTATCATTATTTCCCCTCTCCCTTATTAGAACGAAATCTTTCTCTTGAGGTCCTGTGATGGATAGCAGGTGTTTCACTTTCTGTAGGCATAGAGATGTCTCACCTAAAAGATGTAGCAGAAAAGCAGTGCTCTGTCCACATGGGAAGAATCATGGGTCATCTTAGAACTAGACACACCTTTCCGTGAGTTTTTATGCTAATTAAGAATTTGTATCCGGTGAGCATTGTTTTTGAGATGAGATCATGACATAAGGTGTCCAGTGAATTGGCTTTGTAATAACTTACCTGTTCAAGGTTTTCCTGAGACCAATGAGGGCATCTAAGGTATTGTGGTTTGAAATGTTTTACAGCGCCAATTATTGCCTGAATGGAGAGGAGTAGGGGTTAGAGATGGGGAGAGACCCATTTTGACCCTCTCCAGAGGCTGTAAGAGGTGATGAGTTTTTTCTGTAGTTATCAGCTACATTGAAACTCTGAGAGAAATGCTTAGCTGTTTCTGTGGAGCCCCTGATGAATTGTATTTTGGATGCTTATGAATCCAAAAGGATTTCTAATAGCTTTTTTATTTCAAAGTTTTTTTTTTTCTTTTTTTACCTTCATAGATTTTAAATTTCAGATTTGTGAAAGAAACTTAGAGAATTTAATGCATCTTTTAGAGCAGAAAACTCTTAAGTTTTGATAATAATCTTTTCTCAGTTTCATCTTGGCCCTTCAGATAAAATTACTTTTGAGTTACAATCCCTAGCTCTGGGAATCCTTCTCTGTGGGGTATCGACTGTGATTAGTGCCATCTTACAACACACATTTTGCTTTAGATTGCTGTCAAAGAGCTATACTACTGCCTGTATAGTAGCTGGGTGAGATGTAGTCAAAGGGAAATGCCTGCTGCTTCCCATTATTGAAGAACAGGAAGTGAGGCCATGCTCAGTGTAGAAAACCATCTGGAGTTTAGCTGCAGTCTCAGAATATGCTTTCAGAGCAGACTGTCACTTCCCTTGACTTCCCAAGCAGATATTTGGACATGACTTAAGTTTTTACAGCTTGACTTTCTAAGGTTTAACACTAAAATTCTCATAGACCTATTTAGATGAAAATATCTAGAAAATACCATTAAATTAGAAACTATATAAGCTAGTGATAGAAAAATCTTGAGGGTCTAAATCTGAGAGAAAGGGATAGAGAAGAATGATTAAATATTTAAAGTGAAGGTTCACAAAGGTAAATACAAATAATTAAAATCATCACATTGTTTAATCATGCTTTGCAAATGACTGTGGCATTTTATAAAGGTAATCAGATAATGAGGCTGCTCTCTGTATCTCTACATTGTGAAAACTATATCTTTAATATGAACGAACAGATAATAAGGAAGAAAATCAGTTGCATGAAGATATGGGTGTTACAGAAATGGAAATGTATTTTTGTAGTAGAACACATTAGAATTCATTTCAAAAATAGATTAGATCATGCATGGAGTGGTGCATGTTTACATTTCATAACCACATGTCTTATCTCTCTAAAACCTACTTTAATATAACTGTATGCTTAAAAGTTTTAAATGAGATACCATTAATGTAGATCTCTGGCAGAAAGGAATAAGAATAGTATAGATAAATAAATCTACAGATTCTTAATTTGAGCTCTTTGTTCCCATTGAATACCTCTCTGGAGGTGTTCGTAGGTAGAACACATGACAAATTTGAACTTCACCTTAGATGCTTTCCCTGCCTACATTTTAAATGGAGATGCTAATTATTAAAAGCAGTGGTCAGAAGAGAATAGTAAGAAAGAATAATGAGGAAAGTTTTAATTACTAAACTAGGCAGTATCTTGAATAATTAAGGTTTAAATACTATAATTTATAATTAAATAACAGGGACTAAAGCCAGCATGAAATATTTCTTGGGCACATATAGCCGTCTTACGTAAAACTATTTCTTATATATTCATAAATCATTATATACATATTAGTAGTAAAATATGTAGCATTGTTCCTTACAAAGATATATTTTGAAGTTATAAAAAATAGACTTGGTATTTTCCCCCTCAGCTCTTAAACAGTGTGAATGATCCCTCTCAGATTGAAATAATATTTTGCTTTTATATTTGTTTGTTTCTTGCTCTTGATTTTAATTTTTGCTGTGTGCTGAAAATGTCTTTATTTTTTAAAATGTCCACTCCAAATGACTGATTTAACAATTACACCTATCGCTTCCAGGGTTGTTACAGGCCTTCCTAAGAAAATTCTGTTATCAGTGTTCCTCTGCTTCTGTCATTCAAAAATCCATTGTGTTCTCCAAGTGTTTAGATGACTATTGCCTTTTAATTGTGCAAGAGAAAGACTGGTAATGGGGAAATAAGGAGTGTTCTTAGGGTACATTTATTGTACTCAAAAAATTCCCTTGAAAGCTAGCATCAGTAGAGAAGCATGGAGATATTGTCATTGTGGGCAGAATCTTTATGAAATGTTCTTTTGTAGCTGGTTTTATGCTCAGGATTATAAAAAGCTGGTTTAAATCACATAGACACTGTCTTTATGAAGGAGAAAATAATGAAATGAGATTACTTGCATACCTAAGCAGGACCTTTGAATTGTAGAAAGCCTTTTAGAGATGACCTGATAGCAATTAAAGACAACAACAACAAGGATATCAAGATTGTTTTAAAACAGAGTTCTGGAGCATAGAGTTCCCAGGAGGCAACATAAAAGAGAAGTAAGAAGAGGTGACTAGGGAGTACATACATATTCTCTCTATATATGGCAGCCCCTACTCAGTTCTGGGCCATTTGAACTATAACAGGGAATATAGACCCAGTGTTGCTGTATTTCCAGAAAGCTAGAAATTGCTTTCTTTTCTGTGAAATCATCAGACTTGTAAATGTTAATGACTAATTAAAAATTTCATAAGATACTGTATGAGCCCATTCAAATATATCAGCTAGAAAAATCTTACATGGAGATAATCAGTTTCAAAATGTTTTTATAGGAAATGCTCTATGTCACTTTAGGAAATTGCCAGGGACATGTGTCTTAGAACAGTAATTTCCCTAGAAAACTTTTTTTCACAGCCTTTTTTTTTAACTTGAATTAATTCTAAGAAATAAGTTGCCAGCATTTACTTATTGGTTGGCCTGAGTGGAACGTCTGCTTGTAAAGGGAATTCAGAGAGAGGAGAGCAAAGCCCTTTAATATCTTTTTACTTTGATCTTTTCAACAACATTGTGAGGTAAGTTGTTGCTATTATGTGCCATCGAGTCGGACCCAACTCAGAGTGATTCCTCCTTGGGTTTCTGAGACAGTATCACTACGGAAGTAGATTGCCCAACCTTCCTTCCAAGGAGTGGCTGGTGGCTTTGAACCTCCAGCCTTCTGGTTAGTAGTCAGTTGCCTTAGGCACTATACTACCAGAGTAGAACTTGTTATTTTGAGGAAGTAATACTCAAAGGGGTCTGACTGAAAAATATAAAAATATTCTTTTGGTTTTAAATGAGGACCTTTTCTTGTTGCAAAACAGCAATTCTTGTTTATTGCATGGAAGGTAATCTTGGAAAACTAGGTGTATGTTGATGGTACTTAGGGAATGACTACTTTGTTATTCTCTGCTAAGTAATTGAATTTGAGTGGCTCATTTTTTCCAGGTGAAGGAAGCTATTAAAAACAATTATAAAACATTTCCCAAGTAAGATACTTTGTGAATATATTAAGTGATTAAACCTTTTGAAAAATTATACTAGAAAAGAACTAATAAGTAGTTATCCCCAGATAATTTCTGGAAAGGTAATTGGGGAATGAATGAAAGTCATTTATACAGTGGACAAAGAATTTATTCTTTGTTTACTGCGTAAATGGCTTGCTTTGTTGGAATCTTTGGTGTGTCCCTCTATGGCTGCCCTCTTTTTAAAATCTAGAGTGTAGTGAGGGTGCATGGTATCAGGCATATTCAGCTCTTTCTTTTTTTTTTCTTTCCTACGTACACGACCTTTTCAGACATTGGACTAGGAAGTGATTCTGTATGTGCTCGGCCCTCATCTCATCGAATAAAGTCTTTTGATTCCCTCGGATCTCAGTCTTTACATAGTCGGACTTCAAAATTGTTCCAGGGCCAGTATCGAAGTTTGGTAAGTTTCATATATTCTGTTACTTAAGTTAAATATGTTTTGAGGGTTATGAGTGTTGCGTATTTTTATATGCCTATATTAACATAGTGTTAAACAGCTAAAAGATAGTTTTAGATTTTTGCTTCCGTTACTCCTTTAATCTGTTTTGGCATTTGCTTATTACCAGATTATGAGATACTATGCTTTATGAATGCTTTCTGAGAAACTTTTTTTTCTTAAGGAGAGCTTTATATTAAGATTCATAAATCTATCTAGAGAGATTTATGCTATAAAATATTTCCATGGATACTTGCTTAATATTTTCTTAATTATTTATTATACACGAATGTATAGGAATAGGAGAGTACTAAATATATTTGTAAAATACTTAGAAGTATAAAGATAAAGAATCTAAAGGTGTTTTTTTTCCATCATAAAAACATTACTAGAATACTTTACCAAGTCAGGCTATATTTTTAAAAGGAATGAATCCTTTACAATGTCTTGTAGTGAGGTGGGGGAAGAAACTGAAATTAACAGTCATCTTAAAAATGAAGAAAAATCCATTTATGAGTCCTCAGAGTCAGGCTGGGAATGATGAACATACAGGTAGAGGTAGTTCCCAACTGATGATAGGATTCTGTTCTGCTGACTCCACGGTAAGTTGGTTCTGACCTAAGTCAAACACCTCATTTTTTAAAAAAATTTTCATTATGAATTGCCTTTTCTTATCATTGTCTTTATAAATGTCATCTTTATTTGTCTTTTGTGAATTGGAAACAATTACATATAAATTTACAGATAATGATAACATCAGCATATCATACTCTGCAACATTGTATGTAGTACATAAATGATAAGATACATTAAAAAAAAAAAAAACTCCAAAAATGGATGGTTATAAGTACAGTTCATTGTAACTTGAATGTGTTGTAAGTTGGGAACTGAGAAATTAGGGAAAGAATAAGTAGGGCACTGAATGGAGAAAGTATGGAAAGAGGCCATCCCAGTAGCTGACATGGACTGAGACAACTCCAATTTGCCATTGCAAAAACACTTGTCTACTTTTTAGCTAACGGATGATTGGTACTTACTTTGATTAGGTGCTAATGACATGACTTCTCTTTAATGCAACATCGTAGTAAATTACTTTATCTCAAAAAGCATAAAATGTTCTTACAACATTTTATATGTAACTTCTGTAAGAAATTAAAGATAATCTGATTTTTCATGAGTTTTAGGGGTCGGTGATTTTCTTTATGCTTTAACACAGCAGGGAATAAGAAGCTAATCGTGTGATTCTAAGGAAATAAAAGTTACTTTGGCTAGAGTTGTATTTTGTAGAAGGAAATAAATCTGAGTTTTGTACCTAAGCAATGTTAACACTGGAAGATGCAGAAAGAATATAATTTTTGCTTGTTCCTAAACTTTTTGAACTTAAGCCAGTTTTCATTGTTATTTATCTGTGATTGTTTTTCTTCTTAGAGAAGGACCATTATTCTGTTAACAATTTTGTGTACTATATAAGATGTATTGAGTAGTTTTGCTCTGTGCTAGGCAGTGTTGTGTCAGAGCTCACCCCTTAAAATTTTCATCCTTTCCTTTTTTTTTTTTCCTTTGTTTTCTTTGTTTGAGAGTAAAGAAAAACTGGATTACAAATGCATAATTTTAAGAAAAATAAAGCTAAATGTGCATATTTCATCGATTCTTAGATCTTTTTATTTTTAAACATTTAACTTTAATCTGAAAGTAGCATGTGTCTTACAAATATTTGATGGTAAAAACCAAAAACCAAACTTACTGCCATCAAGTTGGCTCCTACTCATAGGGTTTCCAAGGCGGTATCTCTATGGAATTAGATTGTCCAATCTTCCTTCCAACGAGTGGTGCAGTGGCTAAAGCATTTGACTGCTAACCAAAAGGTCAGCTGCTCCACAAGAGAAAGAAGAGGCAGTCTGCTTCTGTACAGCCTTGGAAACCCTGTGGGACAATTTTGCTCTGTCTTGCTATGAGTTAGAATCAACTCAACGGCAATGAGTTTGGTTTTATATTTGATGAAACTCTATGAGGAAACTGAAGCTCAAAAACATAGGATAGTTTACACAAGATCACAGGGCTGGGAAATAATAACCTTTTAAGTAGAGATTGGGTTTTTCACTCCTTGAAAAGCTTTCATTCTTCAAAAAATGAAATTTTAGGTGTTTTTAGGGAATGGAGGAGAGGATAGGAGTTTGTGTGATGGCAACATGTTTTAGGTTAAAAGGTTAATTTTAGAATATCGGATAACATAAAATGCTTGATTAAGTTATATATGTAAGATATTACTATATTCTACTTTTTATTAATTAGAAGGATGCCGTTAAGAATGGGTTTAAGGTAACTGTCTCAAAGGAGGTATAATGTATGTGCCCTGGATTAGGTCAGTTTTTCACTTGGATTGTGGCATAGAGAAGAACAGTTCAATCCTCTCACATTGTTAGCTTTTGTTCAAGTATAATATACATGTACACTTAACACATGTATGTTTTTCTATAAGTTGGTAAACATTTTTACAAATTGAACTTCCCCATGTAACCAGCATCCAGATCCACAAACAGAACATAACTAGCATCCTTGGAAGCCTTTGTTGCATTTACCTTTCCCAAGGGTATCTGCTTCTCTGATTTCTAAAATAAAGATTAGTTTCACTTGTTCTTGTATTATATCAGAAAAGAATTCTACAATATACTTTTCTTCTTATGACTGACTGCTTTGCTCAGCTCATTTGTTTGAGACTATCCTGGAGTGTCTGTTGGGCCTAGATAGATGGCAAATTACAGTTTCAGGAGAGCTTTTTTAAAAAGGATAGGGGGTAAAAAACTTAGTGAAAAATCATAATTAAATGTACCTTCTTTGTCTTCCAGTGATAGTAGTGACAGTGAAATGGAGCCCTCTTTACTCAGCCTTGTTTTCACAGAGTGTGTAGTTGAAATTCTTTCTTAATAACCTTTTTCCAGCCTCTTTTTTTAGTCTAACCTTTTGATGGAGCACTCCTTGGCATTTGTTTTCTTAGCCATCTAATTTTAGAATGGTATCTTAAAAAGACATATATATGTATGTCATGTATGTATTTTTTTAAGTGTATATATATATATATATATATATATTCAGTATAATGATTGCTGAACAAATGAAATATGTTGAATTGGAAATTTTCAAACAGCTCTGAAATGGTTACCTATCCTCTGTACCTTCCTCCTACCTCCCTTCTCTTTTAAATATTAAACATTTTACTACCCTTTCTGGAATATTTAATTTATGAAATATAGGAGTCAGTAGTGATATTTCCTAGTAGCATAGTGCCTAAGGCATTAGACTGCTAACCAGAAGGCTGGCGGTTCAAACCCACCAGCCACTCCTCAGAAGGAAGGTGGGGCAGTCTACTTGCGTAGTGATACTGCCTCAGAAACCCAAGGAGGGGTCGCTATGAGTTGGGGCCAACTCAGTGGCACATAACAACATCAACAACATGCCTTGAGTTTAGAGAATTATAAGTTAGAATGCAATTTATGTTGTATTTTTTCTAAGAAGATGACATCAGCACCTCTACTTGAATTCAGGCCAGTGTTGTACATATGGGAGGTTGCCTTAACACTCTCTTGCTGAGGATTCAGCTCTACAGTTGCTGGAAGCAGGGTTATCCCTGTGGGCAGTTTGACTTTCTGAGGAGTCTGCTTTGTGTGTGTGTTTGTCACATGTTGGAATTTATCACCAGGATTGAGTGTATGCATGTTTTATACAAAGCAACTTTTCCCAGGTAACTTTGGCTCAGTTACCGAGGGTGGTGGGTGGGTGGGGGGAGGTAACGAAAATCATAGTAGACAGCTGATGAATGCTGATAATACTTTGTAAAAAGAAAAAATCTTGATATAGCTTAGTAAACCTGGATAATGTTTTGACTAACATTAGTAAGGAAGGTGCAATGTTTTTCTAGATGGGAGCATCACTTTTAATGATGAACTTTATCCTAACACTTGTATTCCAAAGGTACTAGTAAGGATTACATTTGAGGTAATAATTGTTAGCTAAAGCTTTAATTTCCAAACATTGAAGAGTTATTTTATTATTAAATATTTTATTTTATGTTTATTAAGTTATAAATAAATTTTTATAATTTTTAATTTAAAACATATTTAAATAATAGATAAATCAGTGTTTATTAAATATTTTAGGAATAATAATAGCAGCCACTCTTTATTGAGAATGTACTGTAGCCTCATCATTGTCATTGAGTCAATTCCAACTCATAATGATCCTATAGGACAGAGTAGAACGGCCTCAGGGTTTCAAGGCTGTAAATCTTTACAGAAGCAAACTGCCTCATCTTTCTCCCATGAAACAGCTGGTGGGTTCAAACTGCCAACCCTTGGGTTAGCAGCTGAGTGCTTTAACCACGGTGCTTACCAGAGTTCCTTAAAATTATAGTGTTGTGTTGTTATTATGTGCCATCTAGTCAGATCCAACTCATAGCGACCCCTCCTTGGGTTTCCAAGGCAGTATCACTACGGAACTAGATTGCCCAACCTTCCTTCCGAGGAGTGGCTGGTGGGTTTGAACCGCCAGCCTTCTGGTGAGCAGTCAAGTACCTTAGGCACTATGCTACCAGAGCTCCCAAAATTATAGTAGAGTTCAGAAATCCTGATAGGAGAATGAGGAATAGCAAACGCAACAGCTTCCTGCACGTAACGTGTATCTCATGTTTCTCATATACAAAGTGATTGTGCCTCCAAGTGTATAATGGTATGGGCACAGATATAACCTATAATACATATATTTTGATAGTCATAAAAAACAACCTGGGAGCTCTTAGTAATGTAGTGTCTAAGGCACTTGACTGCTAACCAGAAGGCTGGCTGTTTGAACCCACCAGCCACTCCTCAGAAGGAAGGTTGGGCAATCTACTTCCATAGTGGTACCTCCTTAGAAACCCAAGAAGGGGTCGTTATGAGTAGGGTCCAACTCGACGGCATGTAACAACAACA